GTAAAAACCATTTGAATGAAAACCCAAGACACTTAAAACTACAAGCAGTAGAATATAAAATTAAGATAAGTAAAAATAAAATTGGTTTAAAAATGTTGCAAGTTTAGTATGTCAAAATAATATTTGTGTCATTTGTTTTTTATTTTGTTTTAATCACTTATTTTATTACATTGGGTTCCATTATGTTGTATTTATGATTAAATGCAGCAAAGTAAACTAACTCAAAGGTAACAGATCTTTGTAATACTTGGTTTATTGGGGTCATTATTTGGTCTATGAAGTATGTTTTGTAAAGTTACTTAGAAAAATATGTTTTAGTTACAATTAAATGCGTAAAATATAATTAATAAAGTAACGTAACAAAACAGAATCTTAATTAATTAATTAACTAACATTTAACAGAAACATAATCTTTAAATGATTTTATAAAATCAAATTAAGGACGTATTTTTTTTACTTTGGAAGAAAGTACCGGAGTATTTATGTCATTTATTGCTTTGAATACTCTGGTACAAATGCACGGTGATTGTAAAATACCAACTGGAGTATGCGGTGAAAGCTTGTAAATTGGTCCACATAAGATCGTTTTTATTGTTATCGTTATTCTTGATCATTTGCATAAAACTAAAAAAAATCAATAATTCTGAAAATGTTAAAGATAAAATAAAGAAAGAATAAAGGTTGCTCTCGCTCTCACACTGTAAAAAGAATTAGGGTGATTAAACTTAAAAACCTGAGTTCAAAAGCTGCCTTAAAAATACAAGTTAACTCCACTGGAAATTTTGCTTTTTCTCAACTTAGGATGGCAAAGCTAGAAAAGTAGCCCAGATGATGATAATTTATTGTTTATACTTGATATTACAAGTTGACTTACTATTGAACATTATCCATTCTCAAAAAACTGAGTACTCTTGTCAGTTAAACTTACAATTGTTTTCTATTTGAACTTAAATATTTAAGTTACACCTTACTTGTTATTTGAACTTCATACTCTGAGTTAGAACAACTTACAAATTTACATTATAAATTCATAAAACTTGTTTTCTCTTGTTAATGTAACATCTATATCTATACTTTCAACTCACAGTTTAATATTAACTAACTATGAATATTCACATAAATTATCTTTTTGAGTTCATTTAACTTAAGATTTTAAGGCAGCTTTTGAAGTTAAAACTGCAATTTAAGTAAACTAACATTTCCAAATGTTGTTCCCTTTCTTCACCAAGTTCACCATTTTCCTAAAAACAATTGTGATTGTGAAAAGTGATCTTCTCCCGGTGATTGTGAACATTTAAATGTTTGTTTGGAGCATAAAGCAAATCTATAAAGGTAATGTGATTTTAATCTTTGTTTTAAAAGTTAAACTGGATCTGATTCGTCTCAGGGCTGGTTCACCCCAAAGATCCGGTGCCCCGGCACAAACAGAGCAATGTTGTATATGCTGTTAAGTGCCAGGAGGACTGCGACCAGTTATACATCGGGGAAACAAAGCAYCCACTGTTCAAAAGAATGTCCCAACACAGACGAGCTACATCTAATGGCCAGAACTCTGCAGTTTTCACTCATTTACAGGCCAGCGGTCACTCTTTCAGAGATGAGGATGTTCTCATTCTTGATAGAGAGGAACGTTGGTTTGAGAGAGGAGTAAAAGAAGTCATTTTTGTGAAGAAAGACCGTCCATCATTAAACAGAGGTGGAGGCCTCCGTTTTCAGCTGTCCCCCTCCTACAGCGCTGCCATTGGCAGTATCACTCCACCCCCTGTTAACAATGGGTGTTAATTAGGTGTCAACGATAGCCATGTGATGTGATGTATCAGTCACATGGAGGCAGGGCTTAAAAGCCTGAATTTWGCCTGAAACTCTCAGACTGAAGAAGTCTCTTGGAGGAGAGACGAAACGTTTCATTAGAGAAGAACCCGTCCAGAAGACCTGTACTATTTTTTTTCTTTTTGATTTTTTACCTGGATTACTGAGATGCATCAGGACATCTACAGTCAGTAAAATGCCAGTAACACCAGTAACACCAGTAACACCGTTAACAGGATGTAAAATCATCTGTTTCTGTTGTTGGCTGTTATCTCTGTGTCTCTCTGTCAAATCTGCATCAGTTCCACACGGGGAGGCCTGCAGGCGGACTCAGATGATGCTCGCCACGTTTCAAGCGGCGGGAGGGTTGGGACGGTTCCGACTAGATCCAGTTTGTGTGAACCTATTAGTGCTGAGCTGGCTCTGATACGCTCCCAGATCAGGCCACGGTATTACGGTAAGAGGATCGAGTCGCCTGAAGGTGAGAGCGCGGCGTGCAGACGCAGGAACACACACAAAGAGCGAGACGCCGTGCAAACGCAGATATGAAGGACCACACACACACACACACACACACACACACACAGCCTCTGAGCACATCTACAAAATAAATCTGCTTCTGGCAGCGACAGCAGCTGAGAGGAGCAGCATTTCTGAACCTGACAGAAGAGATATTATCCATCATCAGCATCAATACTTTGATTTTCAGACGTTTTCAGGGTTTTTTTTTCTCAAACTTGTTCGGCTCTTCAAACCATTTATACCTTTAACTTTATGTGAAGTACAATCCACATTAAAATCTC